TAAGGTTGTCAAAAAAAAATATTCAAAATATTTTCGTTGCAAATTATCTATTTCATTATTCCTTGTTCACATTTTAATATTAATCAATCCCTGTTGTTGTTGCTATCCCTCCTAAAGGACAATCCATCTTCATATTGATTAAATAATTCTGGATATTGTCATTTATTAATTGTTGAAACTTCCAAGTAATTGTCAAGAATGGAGCCAAAGTGCGCACAAGTGATCTCAAAGTGAATAAGTATAAATAAAGTGTTGTTTACAAGTACTTTTAACTCGTTATATTCTAAGTGACTTCTAAAAGGGTCTTAGAATACACCAGAGGGAGACTTTGTACAAAAGTCGATTGCTTGGCTACCTCTGTCCCATTCGTGTTTCAACCGTGAAGCAGTTGTGTTTGCATGGCTGTGTTTCGGTTTGAAGAGTGGGATATGGCGTGAATTTACTGGGTACAGAGGAAGGAACACTTGAGTCCTCAGGAATGGCAACGCATGGGGGGTATCATGGGCGAAACAGTATACTCTTTTCAATCCATGGTACTGCTCATGTCTATAGGACGGCTCGCATGATACCCGACAGTTAGCCTTTACAAATCATTTTACAAAGTTTTTGTTTTAAAAATTAAATATAATTAATAATTATAAATTTTAAATTAAAATAAAAAACAGAACAAAATGTTCTTCATATTTCAATTCTGCACAGAGTAGATCGACAAAATTTAAATTTAGCCTAGTGTAAATATAATATAACCCTTTAAAATGAAAGTTGGAAAAAGCGTAACACAAATTTAATGAGTTTGCCTTGCAGTCGCCCGCTTCCGAACTAAGTTAAGACTTCGTAGGTGTACATAAGGACTCGTTGAGATGCAAACAAGCGCAACTTCAGACATTGTAGATATTAAGTCGTTTCAAATTGTATTATTGTGACTCGACGTCAAAAAGGTAAGTATCGATGCATATATACACTATATTTATATCTACACTAATATTATAAAGAGGAAAGATTTGTATTTTTGTGTGTATGTAGGTTTGTAATGAATAAACTCAAAAACTACTGTGCCGATTTCAAAAATTCTTTCACCATTAGAAAGCTACATTCACCCTGAGTAACATGGGCTATATATATATATATATATATATATATATATATATATATATATATATATATATATATATATATATATATCTTGTAGAGTTTTAGTTTGCTAACATAGTTATATATATATATATATATATATACACACATATACATATATATATATATATATATATATATATATATATATATATATAGGTATAACAAATATGGGTTCGAATCCCTTCGGATCGAATCATCGGAATGTATGATATCAATTTATTTACAATTCATATAATAAAAAGCACTTTTAATTAAATTTTATTTGTAACATGTGCCAACTATATTTTTGTTTATAATCGAAAACTAACGAACGAAAAATGAATTCAAAATGTTCCATAATATTTTCTTTCGTGACGCGCCTATAAAACTGTGCTCATGTCCAACAAGTAGAATAAACAAAAATAAACCAACAAAACGTTTGCTATCACTATGACCATGTATGACGTCTATCGAATTGATCAATATTCTGTCGATGCGTTATAGCGTCGTGTCGTCACGTGGGTCGGTCGCCATTACTCATTTCCCGCCCCTAATTAAACAGTACCATTGATTCTCACAATAATGTGAGAGAAATTGTACGCGAATTACAATAGAGAATATATAGATAGGTGCTTACACGGAGGTTTTCCCAAGAGACTACAGCATGGGGTTATCCAAAAGGAGGGAAAAGAGTTTTCTTCAGGGTCGGCAACGCGCGCGTAGTACCACTGGTATTGCAGGTGTTCATAGGCTACGGTAACCGCTTACCATCAAGTGGGCCGTATGCTTGTTTGCCACCTCAGTGGTATAAAAAAAAGTAGGTATATATTGAATTTAATTATTATTTTAAATTTAATTTCCACGTTTGACGGGCGAATTGTCAACCACAGTTAGACTTTGGTGATGTTTTGAGAGAGACGCTGCTACCCATCGGTCGACCATTAATTACCATTAGTCGCCTCTTATGTAGATAGCGACTCCCAATAACAACGCCATAATATATCATTTAATAAATCTATCTATCTATCCTATTTAAGAGCTGCGCTCTTGTCGGTGGAGCTCTTGCCACTCACTACGATTGTCAGCGAATCTCTTCACCTCTTGATACGACACGACACCAACTCCTTCCTTGATCTGCCTGATGTAACTATGTCTCGGTCTCCCTCTCCCCCTCCTTCCTTCTATCTTACCTTCTATTACAATGTTCATAAGTTCGTCGTGTCGTATCAAGTGTCCCAACATTTTTCCCCTTCTGTCCTCAATAGTTCTAATAATTTGTCTTTTTTCCTTAACCCTAAGCAGGACCTCCTCATTGCTAATTCGATCCCTCCAGTTTTTTAATATATACCCTCCACAATTTTTTTTTTACACAATACACTTTAAGCACACCACTGTGTTAGTCGAACTTATCCAAAATTTATTATTATTATTAGGACCCCGCGGGTTGGCGAGGCTCGTGCTGAAAATCAGCGCTGTAGTATCCCTCTCTGTCCCTGTGAAGAAACATCGTCTGCTCGTAGTAGTGGACGTTTCCACACACAATCATAACAAAGGTGATATTTCAAACGGATTAATACGGACGCTATTAAACAAAGCGCCTCGTTCGTCAGCCAAGAAGCAGTTATATGGTATAGTTAGAAGTTGCTAACAAGCCGCTATGTACAGAGAAATGCTATTAAACTACAAAGTCGGGTCAATTTATAAGACTACTAGCTTTTACACGTGTCACCGTCCACGTGATCGGTGTATACTAGCTGTATACTAGCTCGCAACTTCGTCCGCGTCAATTTCTGTTATAATAATAATAATAATGCATTAATTTTGATTACCATAAAAAAGGTTATAATGAGTCAATCTTAAGAGATAGACATGTACTGTCGCGGACATTTTTTTAGGTCATTTAAAGAGGAATAATTCCTTCATACATGTTTTTTGGGTAACTTGAACCATTTTCGCAGCGCACGCAACGGAAGCCCTCAAGAATTAATAATTTCCCCCGTTTTTGCAACATTTTTCACTAATGTTTCGCTCCTATTGGTCGTAGCGTGATGGTATATAGTCTAAAACCTTCCTCGATAAATTGACTATCCAATACAGAAAGAATGTTTCAATTCGGACCAGTAGTTCCTGAGATTAGCGCGTTCAAACAAACAAACACTTCAGCTTTATAATATTACGTATAGATTCTTCTGGGTCTCATTCAGAACAATATACCAAAATTTTATAATAATTAGTTAAGTAGGCGTTATAAAGTAACAAACAAACAAACCCACTTTCACATTTATAATATTAGTAAGGACTTTTTTTATGATACTTAGAATGACAAACAAGCCGACGGCCCACCTGATGGAAAGTGATAATCGTCGCCTATAGACACGAGCAGTACCATAGACATAACATTATACGCAATACATAAAAGATTATAGGTATGTCAAAGCATTTGCGGTTGCTGAGATCTAGCTTTGTGACAGGCAAATGGATATAAAATCTCTCACACATTCTGTACCTTAGTACATGACATTTAGCGAGCTTTCTCTGACTAAGTTACACCCACCGTTTAGTGCTTTTACCAGAAATTCGTATATTTATATTCTGACAAGATAAAACTCTTTGTTCGCGCACAAAATTTTCCTTCGTATTTGTTTCGTTCTCCCAGACTTTCAAGTTATAATAAAATAAGTAATATATAAGTTATAATAAAATGCCTAGAAATGCATACTACAACATGACAATGTTGTTGGAAGTGCATACTTTACTAAATGGAAAATTTGTCGGATAAAGTAAGCGACATTTCCACTGGATCTCTGAGAATTGTAATAGATTTTTTTATACAACTTAGAATGGCAAACAAGCTGACAGCCCACCTGATGGAAAGTGGTAACCGTCGCCTATAGACATGAGCAGTACCATGGACATAACAGAGTATACTGTTTCGCCCATGATACCCCCATGTGTTGCCATTCCTGAGGACTCAGATGTTATTCCTCTATACCCAGTAAATTCATGCCATATTCATGCAAACACAGCTGCTTCACAGTTAAAACACGAATGGGACAGAGGTACCCAAGCAATCGACTTTGTACAAAGTCTCCCTCTGGTAAATGATACGAGTACAGTCCTCTGCTTCACGCAGTCCCCTCTGAAAATCATTGTGGTTGATTCTTAATGAATTCGTCATGATGGACCAATTGACCTGATTTCATTCCTACTTACCATCCCTCAGTAATGCCCCGTCAGCGATCACCGATAGCACAGGTGGAGTTACCATTTTAAAAAAATATTAATTAATATAGAAAGATGAATTCGAAATCATTACCTTTGTTTTCAGAGGATGTGTTAGTCTTGTTTTATCATCATCATCATCATATCAGCCATTAACATGGTGAACATAAGCCTCCCTCATAAGGGGAGTTTCGCCAGTAGTTTCCACGCTTTGCAAGCGGGTTAGCAACTGCAGCTCGACTTTGGTGATGTTTTAATAAGGACGCTGTTACTGTCTTAATAGACAAGGAATGGGCCCTTGACTATTAAGTTCCCATACTCGCCTCTTAAGACACCCACGGGAAAGGAAGGTGTAGCCCATTCTGTTAGTATAGGAGGCATAAAAATTTACATTGTTTATCGGTTCATGTCCTCTAAACAAGTGGCAAGCGACTCCATCGATGGAACCGTCGTCGCTAGCGAGTCTATAAGCTAGAATGGGATATCAACGTCCGATGTCTCATTCCAAATTATGGACTTGTTCGCTGTAATCCATCGACGACGTCCTTTGCCACTTGTTTAGGGGTCATGTTCTTTTAAGATATATGTTGCAGTGATGTAACACTTTCTACAAAGGATACTGAAGATTTACATTTCAATCTATATTGTATTGGCAGATAACTCACCTTAGGCGTGGTGGCGGTGTTGTGATGCCTCGCAGCCGCTGAGTGGGCACGCCTCGTCGCCTTGTAGTGTAGCCGTCTTAGGGCGCCCCCCAGACGCTCTGGGGAGCCTTCGCCGCGCGCCACAGTCATGTTGCCGTCTGGATCTGCATCATACGATTACGTATTATCACCATTTGTTTTATCTCAATGTAATATCGGGCACAATATGGAGATAACAGAGATTGCCGGGCCCAGAAGAACCGGAATCTAGACAGTCTTAACCTATAAAACTGATTACCGCATTATTGGAGGAAAGGAATTATTAGTTTCTTTTATGCAACTTAAACTCACAAACAATCTGATGACTCACTTGATGGAAAGTGGTTATGGTGATGATAACGCCGTCTACGCTGTCAACATATACTTTCGGGGCACCAGTCAGGGATGATAGGTGAGGATGAAGCAAGACAGTTAGCCCAACATGACAAATTCAACATTTATTGTTGAATTCAATAGCGATGGTTTCCAGGAGGAACCGCGAGAAGGTAGATCTAATAGGATTTATTACTATCAATGGGGTTTCTAATCCTCATTAGTAACAATGCCTTCTCTCCCCAGGCAGGCCCGTATTTTGTTGAGATCCGTGGTTAACAATGTAGGGGGAAGGGATTGTTTGCAATGAAGTTTAACAGCCCCATTGCTAGCAATATGCCTTATTAGATCGACCTTCACGTGGTTCCCCCTGGAAATCATCGTGAACAATTCTTGTAGAATTCGTCACGATGGGCTAACTGACCTGCTTCATCCTCACCTATCATCCTTCACTGGTGCCCCGCCGATGTATACCGATAGCGCAGACGGGGTTATCATTCCATTACCATCCATTAAAAAAAAAACATTACCTGTGGCGTGTTCAGGAGATTGTCGAGACGACTGGATTTTGGGAGCTTGGTGACGCCCATCCGCCTGGAACAAGAAACATAATCAATCAATCATTCATTTGAGAAACACAGATGGAAATTGTTAAAAGACTTACAACAAGCTCTTTACGATCGACCCAAAAGGTGTATAAATATTTAATTCGAATAAAGTAATCGACATAGATACAGTAATTCATTTATCCATTACAAGAATTAAACAACAATCTATTATTAGGCATCTGTGCCATCCAAATAAGAGTTTTATTTCTTTTTTTTTTGTAACACACAGACCAAACGAGTATACGGCTTATCTGATGGTAAGTGACTACCTCCGCCCACGAACACCAGCAATACAGTTAATTACTTTATTTTAACAGATTTTTTTTGACAGTCTCTTTAAAATCCCAATTTTTATAACATGCATACAATATATATATATATATATATATATATATATATATATATATATATATATATATATATATATATATATATATATATATATTCTTTATTGCACTTGTAAGTTACATATAAAATAATGTATTTATAAATGTTGTGAGCAAGGGTGGACTTATCTCTGACAGAGATCTCTTCCAGTCAACCCAGTACAGTGAGAAAGCATGTCGTTAGCGGGCAGCTGAAGTGCTATAACTATTAATACATAAACAAATATACAGTTAAATAAAATATTAAAATATATAATAAAATATTACATAAATACATACACTATAAATACATACAATACCTACCTACTTATATAATAAATGTTAAAATAAATTAATATACTACTTACATTAGAAATTTAGTCGAATGATTTTAAGATTTGACAGTTCACTTAGAAAAACACAAAAATATACATAATTATGTAATATTTATATAAATAACAATGCATAAAGAATGCAATCTATAAGATTCATATGCATCTCATATTATGTATACAGCACCTGTTGTTGTTACATTATAAATTGTGATTTACTAGCTGCACCGGAATAATTAACCTTTAGCTTGAGATATAAAATCTCATATATTTATTTTATTTATTTATTTAAATTTTAAAGCACAGTATAGTTGTATATACATATGGCTTACCAACGAACGATGTTCTCTCCTAGTTAGCCATTGTTCTCGTATGTGTATATATACCAAATTGCATGAGTATTGGTTGAGCTATTAAGGCTTCAAGAGGTACCCACAACACAAACTCACTTTCAAATTTAAAATATCATTAAAAGAAGTATATATATACAGGTGCTCCGTAAGTAGTAGACCAACGGATTATTGGGGGCGATGCGAGGGATTGAAGGGCGGGAGGGGGGGGGGAGGTAGTGAGACTTATTATCTAACAAAAATACTAAAATTTATAGTCCTAGATCTTGTAGTTATTAAGTCATGCTCTGTTTTCAAAGTGTGGTGAAAATATCATCCATGGAAGATAAATATTAGATTTTACCATTTTTTGTTCTTTTTTTATTTTATTTTATTGTTGTTTTTTGTTCAAAGTAGTAAGGAATACACAAGTCTTCTTAATTAAAATTATATTCAAGCATATTAAACAACGACAAGAAAATTAGACCATAAACTAGATGCAAACTTTACGTTTAAAAGCTTTCTAACACGTTTCATAGCTCAGTTCATAAAAAAATATTACGTATATTTGTGATAAATCAAGATTTTCTAGATGTACATACACCTATATGCTATAGAGGTCTAATGACAAAATGGAATGGCGAGAAAGCAAGAAAGATTACGGACGAGAATTCCTCTTAAATTGAAATAAATCACGGACCATTAAATGTCAAATTATGCATCAGTTAACGCCGAAAACCGAATCCATCTCGGCTTCTGTGATGTAAATAAGAGTTTTTGTCGGCGTCACTTTACTGAAAATTTTGTGATAAAAAAAGATCTGTAATCAAATGGCCAAAGTCATAAGAAATCAGTTCATTCTTATGGCAGAATTGTAACAAATAATTGGATGTAAACTTGTAATGCTGTAGACAGTATTTTAAATAGGTTGTGTCTAAATTGTCTACTATTTTATTTTTTATAAAATACAACCTGTGTTACACGCTAATAATATTTTTTTAAGGATGATGATGGAATGGCCACCCCACCCGCGTTATCGGTATACACCGGCGGGGCATCAGTGAGAGATGATAGGTGAGAATGAAAAGACAAATCAGTTTTTTTTTAATGGGTGATAATGGAATAGTGACCCCGCCTGCGTTATCGGTATACACCGGCGGAGCACCAGTGAAGGATGATAGGTGAGGATGAAGCAGGTCAGTTAGTCCATCGTGACGAATTCAACAAGAATTGGTCACGATGGTTTCCAGGGGGAACCACGACCTGATAGGGTGTATTGCTATCAATGGGTTCATTAGACCCCATTACTAACAACCCCTTTCCCCCCAGACAAAACAGTTAGCCTATCAATCATGAATTCAACGATAAATTTGTCATGATAGTTCCAAAAGAAACTGTGTGGAGGTCGACCTGATACCTGAGGATAGGATAGGAGTGACCTATTCTTTGCCGAAACTACACGACTAAAAATACAATAGAATAAATATATTCTATACTAATGATAATTGCCATATTTATTAGCAGATACTTTTAAATTGCAATATGCTGAAACGGAGATCTCTCTTTGTTATTTTTTAGAAAAAGTATTTTTTAAAAAAAAAAAACAAAGGTTGTCTACGCACATAAGGAGAAATAAAGCACATAATGTTCTCCGTATAGCAACACCAGACAAGTCGTTGCTATTCACCCCGTGAATACCGGAGAGATGGAACAGTCAAGTCTTTATAAAAAAAAAAAAACTAATGGCTTTCAAGAGAGTAGGTAGATGTGTGTACACGGAACAGTTTTCAAGTTATTTTTATATAATATAAAATTTACAGTCTTAACTATTTGTATATCTATTCATTAATAAATATAATAAATCAAGAATAAAAATTTATTCACGCCTCGAAAAAGGGAAAAGATTGGTGATCGAAACAAATTGGTGACCCCGACGTGATTTCAACTTTACAAATTTACAAGTTTATCAAGTGGCAAAAATCTCCATCATCAACACTATATGTTATTCGAAGATTTGAAACAATAATCACAGGGAAGTAAGCCCAATCATTGTAATAAATTCCTATCCATTCCTTTTTTGTGTGGGTAGAAGTTGACAATTAAAAGTACGGATATATTTTTAGTTTAACTATTAATATTTCATTTTATATTGTATGTGGAGGTTTTTAGTACGATATAACGATCACTAAAATCATATTTAAATTCACGCCGGTGTTTTTTTATCGGGTATTCAGAGAGGTTTCAACAAATATATTTGTAGCTACTTTTGATTTACTAAGTTCTATAACATATTAACTTGGAGCTGTTTTCAATGTGTGAATTACTTCAGTATAAGTCAGTACCTATTGATTCATTGTTTGCACTTTAATAATGGCAGACTATAAAGATTTAGTAAAACAACGGAGCACAATTAGAGCTCAATTAACATTGTTTGAAAAATATTTACGACCATTACTGGAAACTCGAGAAATAAATAAGGTTAGGATTCATGAATTAAACTTAAGGCTAGTAAAAACTCGTGAACTATCATATAACTTTGATAAGGTGCAGACAGACATTGAGAAGTGGGTATTGGATGAAGATTTAGATAAACAAATTGAGGAACGCGAACAAACAGAAAATAAATTCTTTTCTTTAATTGCTGAAGCTGAAGCTCTGTTAGAATATTACAATAATGAAAACCAATCTGAAACTTCATCTGCCAACACTCAGTCTGCCTTAAATCTGAAGCTACCTCCATTACATATTTTAAGATTCGACGGACAGACCAGCATGTGGATAACCTTCAGGGATACCTTTCTGTCTTTGATTCATGAGAATGGAAGTATTCAAGAAGTTGCTAAGTTTCACTATTTGAAGTCCTATCTAGATGGCGCTGCCAGTGACGTTATTAGTTCTATCGCTGTTTCTGCAGCTAATTATCGAATTGCTTGGAACTTATTATGTGATAGGTACAATAATAAACGTATATTAATTAATGAGCATTTAAAAGCGATATTTTCAATCGAACCTTTGTCTAAGGAATCAGATAAGGGTATTCGTTGTTTAATTGATGCATTTTCTAAAAATTTAAGCGCATTAAATAGTTTAGAAGAGCCGACCGATTCATGGGACACGATTATTATATACATAGCAGTTAGTAAATTAGACAGTATTACAGCGGGTAAATGGGAAGAATTTAGAAGCAATAAGGAATCACCTACTTTACAAAATTTTTATACATTTTTACGTCAAAGGGCAACAGTTTTAGAGACAGTCAATGCTAATAGATCAAATAAAAATGAAAAACGCAACAATATGGTTAAATCTAAATCATTTATTATTTCCTCAAAGACATCTCCTGATTTTTCTTGCACAGTTTGTGGTTTAAAACACAAGTTGTTTGACTGCAGTATGTTTAAATCGTTACCAATAGAAGAACGTATTGCTAAGGTTTCTGCCGGTCGTCTATGTAAGAATTGTTTCCGAGGCGGCCATCGATCATTCCAGTGCAAAATGAGCGGCTGTAGAATCTGCAAAGGAAAACATAATACCCTATTACACAAACAACTTTCATTACCTGTAAATTCAACCACTCCACCTCAATCACACATACCATGTGATCAACAAACACATGATTCATCTACAGTACTGACAACTACACACAATGCTACCATTCTAAATGAACCTAAAACCACAGCTAATTTCTCGAATTCTATAATTATGTCTGCTGTCGCCGCCAATCAAGCTCTTTTGTCTACAGCGTTGGTCAAGGTGACAAACAATGACAAACCCTACATATTAAGGGCTTTATTAGATAGTGGTAGCCAGTCTACGTTTATAACTACAAAGGCACTACAGTTGATCGGACTAAACAATATTCAAAGTGTTCATCAATGTGTTTCTGGTATAGGAAACACAACTTTAAACATTACTAAATTAATAGATATCACAATACATTCTACAGTGAACACCTTTAGCATTCCGATACGATGTTATGTCTTACCTCATATTACAGATTCCTTACCTCACAAATCAATATGTATTAATGGGTTAGGTATTCCAAATAATATACAACTTGCAGATCCTAAGTTTTATCAATCATCAGAAATTGATATTCTTTTGGGAGCTGATGTTTTTTGGGAGTTGCTAGATAATTCAAAAATAAAACTAGGTCCTAAATTACCTATCCTTCAAAAAACTCAATTAGGCTGGATTGTAACCGGTCCTATTAGCGGAGG